GATTTACTCATATGTTGTCTTCTAATATTTTTATGGTTTTAGCTCTTATATTTAGGTCTTTGACATTTTTAGTTCATTTTTACATATGGTGAGGTAGGTGTCCAACAACTTTTGCATTCGGATATATGGTTGTCCTACAATCATTTGTTGAAAAGACTGTTCTTTCCCCCACTGAATGGTCATGGCAGTCTTGCCAGAGATCACTGACCATAAAAAGTTTTATTTCTGAACTTTCCATTCCATTTGTCTATACATTTATCCTTATGTTTTGATTAAGCTGTACTTAATTACTTGATAACTGTAGCTTTGTAATAAGTTAGAAATTGGGAAGTGTGAGTCCTCCAACTGTGTTCTTTTTCAAGATTGTGTTTGCTATTCTGGCTCTTCTGCATTTCCACACGAATTTTAGAATCAGCTTGTCAATTTCTGCAAAAAAAATACCTGGGTTGTTGATAGTGATTGCTTTGACTAAATCAGTTTGAGGGTGAGCAATACATTTGATTGTATTATTGGATGCTATCAGAAATAAATTGGAAGTAACAGATTAGCTAATTAGAAACGAGTCTTTTGGAGTAATGAGAAAGGAGTTTGTTGTGATAGTGAGTCATTTAGTGGAGGTCTTTGAAACCCAAACTAAAGAGTTTGAATTTTATTAGGTATTATAGCTTTTTTTGCCCCCAAACTTGTTTGTATGTGTAGATGATTTAATTCTGATACTCAGTACTGTTGTATTTTCTGTAGCATTAAAGAGGGTCTTTTCCATGTTTTCTTATGAAGTTGAGGTTTTAAATCAGTCAAAAAAACATTTGAATGCCTTTCCTTGTAAGGACTATAGGAAATTCAGAGTGGCCACTGCTAAGCATTCCAGGAGAATAAAAGAACTAGAACACAAGGGTTTGCCCTCAGGCACTGTACACTGTCATTGTCTATTGACAGTGGTTAATTATGTTTAAGGAAATGACACCTGTACTTACCCTTTCGTGCTTAGGCATCATGAGTCATCTAGTTCCCTACCAAGACTTGGCCCTAGCCCTCACTTACTACGTAGAAAAGCATTTCATGTACAAGGTAGGATGGCTATCTCAGTGCAAATTCACTCACAGCCCTCACCTGGGAAAAAAATCCAGAGAGAAATGCCTTACTTAATAGTTCCATAGGTCTTATTTTTTTTTTAAATTAAAACACTGTAACCTTTAAAAGATCTTTTCTTAATTTTTATAATTTTAATATGTTTATAGCAGAAATAAAACTTATTTGTAAAATTTGGATCTGGTAATTCTGTATCCTCAGACATTTCCATGGAGAGTGGGGTGTGTGTGTGTAGCTACTGAAATAATTGTAAACGTACAGAAAAGTTGCCAAAACAGTGTAAAGAATTTTAATGTCCCTTTCACCCAGATTCTCATATAATTAACTTTTTATTGCTTCATTGCTCACTATGTGTGTGTGTGTGTGCATGCGTGCACATGTGTATATTCTTTATTGTTAGTCTTTCTGGGCATTTTAAGGATTGACAGAGCAAACCGCAGACATGATGTTCCATGACTTCTAAACACTCCGATGTGTATTTTCCCCTAAACAGGGACAGCATCCTACATAAAAGCAAACAACCTTCCATATCAGAAAATCAATTTTGGTACACTACCATCCAATCCATTGAGGCCATTCAAATTTTGCCCACTGTCCCAACAATGTCTCTCTTCTGGTCCAAAATACTATACAGGAATACATTTTGCATTTAGTTGTCATGTATCTTCATGTCCTTTATGTCCAATAGTCTTTTTTTTTTAAGATTTTATTCATTTGAGACACAGATAACAGAGCACGAGCAGGGGGAGAGGCAGAGGGAGAAGCAGGCTTCCTGCTGAACCAGGAGCTGGACGTGGGGCTCGATCCCAGGACTCTGGGATCATGACCTGAGCTGAAGGCAGATGCTTAACGATCTGAGCCACCCAGGTGCGCCTGTCCAATAGTCCTTTAATTTGGAATAGTTCCCCATCTTTTATGTCTTTGACAATTTTTTTAAAGATTTTATGTATTTATTTGACAGAGACACAGCAAGAGAGGGAACACAAGCAGGGGGAGTGGGAGAGGGAGAAGCAGGCTCCCCACAGAGCAGGGAGCCTGATGCGGGGCTCAATCCCAGGACCCTGGGATCATGACCTGAGCCAAAGGCAGATGCTTAACGACTGAACCACCCAGGTGTCCCTTATTTTTTTTTTTTAAGATTTTATTTATTTGACAGAGACGGCGAGAGAGGGAACACAAGCCTGGGGAGTGGGAGAGGGAGAACCAGCGTCCCCGCAGAGCAGGGAGCCAGTCTGAAAGTTTTAAAGAGTATAGCATCTACTTTCAATAGGGTGGCCTACAACCTGAGTCCCTCTGATGGCAGGAACACAACAAAATGATGCTTTGCTTTTCCCAGTGAGTCTCAACAGGAGGCATGCAATGTAGACTCCTCCCAACCCTGGTGCTTAACCTTAATCACCTGATCTTGTTGGTTTCTTCATTTCACCATTTCTCCTTTGTAATTGATTAGTATTCCAAAATCATGCCAATATCTTCTCATCAAACTTCCTCCCATCAACCTTACCATCCACTGCAGACTCCTGCCTGAATCATCCACCTCTATAGTGGGTGCCAAATAGTAATTCTCTTATTTCCATCATTTTCTTTGTCTTATTGGATTGGCATTCTACTGTTAGAGTTTTCCTTCCTCTCCATTTATTTATATCAATGTGAACTTGTAGATTCCTATTTTACTCAACAGATTGTAATCCATTAACACTGTTTATTTTGATTCCCAAATTGATTTGGCCAGTGGCTCTTCAAGCTGGCTCTTAACATTGCAACATTTGAAAATATGTATATTGCTAAGATTAATCTATGTAGTAGCTATAATTCATTTAGACTGCTTTGTAATATGCTATTTTGTGAATATATATATATATATATATCATATATATCAGTTTATTCACTCTTCCATTGATGGGCACTTCGGTTGTTTCCATGTTTTGGTATTGTAGTTTACTATTCCAGAACTCTAATGTTGAGTTTGGAACGTTCTAAAATTTTGGATTAATATAATATACTTCAAGGCTGTTTATTGTATAAGTATTGAGCACTAGGACTGTTTTACAGTCTAACAGTATATGAGAAGATCAGTTTTTTTTTCCAACTTTTTATTTAAATTCCAGTTAGTTAACATACAGTGTAATGTTAGTTTCAGGTGTAGGATTTAGTGATCATCACTTGCATAGAACATGCAGTGCTCATCACAACGTTGTACTTTTAATACCCATCATCCATTTAACCCATCCCTTCGCCGCCGCCAGGTCCCCCTCCCTTCCAGCAACCTTCCGTGTGTTTTTCTACAGTTAAGAGTCTGTTTTATGGTTTGCTCTTTTTTCCCCCCTATGTTCATCGTTTACGTTTCTTAAATTCCATATATGACTGAAATCATATGGTATTTGACTTACTTCGTTTATTAGCATAGAGGGTCACTTTAAAATACTGTTAATCTGCATTTTTCATGGAGAAGGATTTAAAATACCTGTTTTCAAAACCGTGTAGTAAAGGCTTTTAAATAAATTTCCTCTTGGTTTTTCTCCTATTTATGTATGGATATTGAAAGAAAGGGGTTGAGAAAACAAGATCAAAAGTTGTAAACCTCAGGGCTTATGCCAGGGGGAAGTTGCACCTGCGGACAAAATGACCTAGAGCAGGGACCCTGCCGCGCATGCACACAGTTCCAGAGCGCGTGCGCAGAAACCTCCCGAACCGCAGTTTTCCTTCCCGAAAACTTTATCGCGAGTCTTGGGATAAACTTGTGATTGCCAGAACTAAATTCTCGCGAGAGGTAATTAGTTGCTATAGTTGCGCATAACACATTTGCGGCAGCCTCAGGTAAGACAGGCGTATCCAAACTCCTCAGAAAACCCTCTGCTCCCGGCCTCTCCACCGTGGCCCTGGGACCACACCCCGTATCCTCAGTCTCTTCTGAGCTACAGCCGGGCAGAAACTCAAGGCCGCACCACACAGGGCACTCTGGTACGGACCTAAAGGCCACCGACCCCGCTAGGCACCGAGGCTCCTGCCAACCCCAGGCCTCCCACTTGAAGCCGGGCTTAGACCCCCTTCCGGCTTTGCCCCAGATACCCTGCAGTAGGTCCACACTGCGCCGCTGTCCCCAGACGACACCCCATCCGTCGTATTATCCAACCTGTTGTTTTTTTTTAAGATTTTATTTATTTGACAGAGACACAGTGAGAGAGGGAACACAAGCAGGGGGAGTGGGAGAGGGAGAAGCAGGTTTCCCACTGAGCAGGAAGCCCGATGAGGGGCTCGATCCGAGGACCCTGGGATCATGACCTGAGCCGAAGGCAGACGCTTAAGGACTGAGCCACCCAGGCGCCCCCATCCAACCTGTTTCTGACGTGACTGTTCCTTGCATTTTCTTTTGTTTGAAAGATTTTGTTTTTAGTAATCTCTGCACTCAGCGCGGGTCTCGAACTTAAAACCCGCAAAGCAAGAGTCTTATGCTCCTCCAGCTGAGCCAGCCAGGTACCCCTCCCTTGCATTTTCATATGAGCAATATGACAAGAAATGCATGCCTCTTGGGTGCAACAGGAGCCCCCCCCCCCACCTGACTGCCCTGACCATAAGTAACCAGCCAGATTTCTTGCATTCATTATACAATAAATATCCTGCTAAGACAATGCATAGTGCCGGGCACTCGGGCTGTAAATATGAGTGAGATTACTTGTCTTGAAGGGAGTAATTGAGCATTCAGAAAAACAGTGCACGTTAATAATACCATTTGTGCCCTACTTCATAGGTGAAGCAGTTTTACTATTTTAGTGGATATTCACAACAAATGTGAAACACCAGAATTTATATTATCTTTTTTACAGAAAGTGAAACTGAGTCTCAGAGAAATTAGACTTTTGTCCAGGGTCAGGCTAGTGAAGGCCTAATTCATGTGGTACTATTGAAAAGAAAAGAAGGGGAGTAATGTAAAAGGTAATTTCTAATGTGAATTTTATAAGAGAATTGTCAGTCACTTTGGCCCAGAATGAGCCTGGAGACATGGTGTTGAACAAATGATCTGAGATGTTTAGATGACTGAAAGTGAGGGAGTAGCTGAGAAGAGGCAGAATAATTATAAAGCCTGGGGACAGCAAAGTATTGCCTTCTTTTTTTGTACCACCAGTTCTAGATACACATAGTATGTCCTCACTAAACGTTTGAATTGCCTTAAATTCCAATTTGAATTGAGGCAGAAAATCTTTCTTAAATGTATCCAGTTTATTTTTGAAATTGTGTCCTTAGTGTTCTAAAATAACTAGAAGATATCTCTGACTAAATAAGACGCATGTCCGAACTTTTGCTGGTGGACTAACCATTATTCTATATGGCTGTTTATTTTCTGTTATTGAAGTATATTTTTGTAAAAGTGAGAGATTAAGTAAACTTTGAGGGGAGCTTTGTACATAAAGTCTATCAAAGAATACTATGAAAGATGGGGGAAGTAAGGGAGATGACATTCCTACCCTCTTCGTCTTGGAATGATTTGTGCTTGATGGGTTAGTTATATGCATAGAGATCATGTTAGCACTAACTGATGGAATCCTGTGACCAGCTCTGTAAGGCTCTGTCTATCAGCAAAGGTTGGAAAGGGCAAAAAACAATGCTGGACAATGCTGGACTAGCTATGGCATTTTCCTAGGCATATTCCCCTAGTATTGGTTATTATGTAATGTGGGTACTTCTGCAGCTGTGGTACTTGAGGGAACAGGTTGATTCATTATGTTTACAGAGACCAAAGAAGACAAGAGGGACTTTGCCCAACTGCCGATATGGAGCAGGTGTTATCAACAGGCAGACCTGTGCAGATCACTGTGACAGACGGATATGACTTGGTAAAGTTATTTTTGGAAATTAGAGGAATTCTTAGTTTATTCATTCTTCTTGAAAGTATATTTGCCTTTGTGTTCAGGTTTCCCTGTCAAATATCTATCTGCAGGTTGCATGAAGATGTATTGGAAGCACTAGTGGGAGGAATGCTTTTGCACCCTCCTATAACACCAGACTGGCTGGTCTTAACATTGCAATGGCATTTCTTTCTCAGTTTTCCTTTTTGTTAGACCATACAGTCAGCAGGTCACATCACTATGTGTGTAAAATACCTGGCAATTTGAATACTACATTTAATGGTGAAACAAGAAGTGATTTTTGTTTTCCTAGACAGCAGGCCTTTTCTTCTGAAAAAGATCTGAATTATTCCAAAGTTTCTCTTGTGATTAATTTCATTTGGTGAATTTAAATAATAAAACTACAATATGAGGTAACTTAAAAATTACAAGAATAATGAAATGGCAAAATATTCATTCACTATTATGAAGTCAAATAGCTCATTCCAAAACAGGATGTAATGAATGATCTCTACTTTGTTTTAAAAGGTATGTATAAAAGATGTATGTATAAATGTGTGTGTGTGTGTGTGTGTATTCACACATATATATATTCACAGGAAAGCACTAGAAAATCTAAAGTATTAATAGTGCTTGCATGTTAGGGTGAGATTACAGGTAATTTGTTTTCCTGTGTGCTTTTCTCACTTTTTAAAATGTTTCACAATATACTTTTATAATCACATAAACACAAAAGTTATTTTTAAAAATTCCCAACATAATGGCATTTAAATAGAATGTTACAGTTAGCTACCACTAGGTTTGTTTAATGACCTACCTATCCCTTTTGTATTTGTGATATAGCTTGTTAGGAAAACATGGAAAAATGCTATGTAGTTAAGTCAAAATGAGTTGCCAGATGTGTAGGAAAATTCTCTATTTGAGTATAATTGTAAAGTGGTATCTTTCTGTCAACAGAAAGGTTTTAAAGGAGATACTCCAGTTACTTTTATTCGTGCAGAATTCAATCAAGTGGTTCTGGGAGACTCTGCAAAAGTTACGGTTTCTCCAGAAGGAACTGCAAAATACAACTTCATGAGCAGTTTTGAATACAGTCCTGAAGGAGGAATTACTTTAGATGACCTTGCCCACAAACCTGTGTTCTGTAAGTCCTTGTGGTACTAAAAGTATTAATTATGTTGAGTATGTTATAAAGAGATACTGAGGTATTTAGTAGTGGTTTGGGGGACAAATGAACACATCTTACCTTTTTCACCTAGGAATAATGGGGTATAATTTGAGTCCTTCCTGCTTTTGGCAGCAGTCTCCATGGCCTGCTAACTTTAATCAGTTTGTATCAAAGCCCTTTTGACATTTGACTGAACTTTGCAGCCCTTATCTCCTAAGCTGGGTTGGAGCTTTTCCCAAATATTCCTATATTTAGGGTTGCCAGATTTAGAAAAAAAAATTGGGACATACTTATCCTAAACAATTATTCATTGATTATCTGAAATTCAGATTTAATTGGGCATCTTGTATTTTACTTGGCAGCCCTATCTGTAATTCTGTATACAGTACTTCTATATACTTTTTTTGAAATTTGGTCTGTATCTTATTTATTTCAGAATGTCTAGTGCCTAGAAATATCTGGGACATAAAAGGGCTCAAAAAGTGTTTGTTCAATAAATGAATGAAAAAATGGATATATGAATTCTGTATCCACACTTTTACAGTTTCTAAGTACACTGTATTATCTCTGACATACTTTCTTCTTACACCTATATACTAGTCTAAGGCTTTTGTTTTAACCTATACTCTTATTTTTTGTTTTGTTATTTTTTTAGTGGCACATCTCCTGTGATGCCTGCCAAAAAACCAGATTCCAAGATCCCTGACCCAGAGAAGTGGGTCCTGGGAATCATAGAGTATCCTAGAGCATTGCATTCTAAACTTTTTTTTTTCCATAAGAGTCACCTGAGGCTCTGGGAGAAAGTAATCTTCAGAGTCCCACCCTAGAACACTAAATTTATGATTGCCAGGGAAGGATCTTAGGAAGCTGCATGTAGGAACAAGTCTCGGTGACTCCCAGGAAGCACTGCTCCAGAAAAGTGATTCCTAGCTCTGGCCTAGCTGGGAATCAGTCACCCATGGAGGCATCCATCTGATCCACACTCTGATCACTCCTTTCTACTTCTTTCTTCTTTGCTTTGTGCTTCTCTGTCACTCCCAACCCCAAATAAGACGAGTGTCAGTGTCCTAATTGCCTTCCTCCCTGGCATGTTAGATGGGAAAGGCAGAACTGGAACACTGTTTTAAATGTGTCATTGAATCCATGAGAAAGAAAGGTCCAGTCCTTTGTTCCAGAAGCAAAGCAGGAACTGAAACCTGAAACTCTTGAACAGCTGCTATTGGAGAGTGGTGGTGTGAGGGGAAAGAGCAGTACTCCAAAATCTAGGGACTTGGGTTTTAGTGGTCTTAGACAAACAGAGAACTTGGGCTGCTGTAGATGGGAGTTGAGACTGAGATCAACCCCATTACCACAAGCCAAGACTCTCAAAAAGAATGGACTAGAAAAATAATCCATGCCCCATCATATGTATCTAGCCATTGGATAGATGAAAAAAGTCTTTCCTAATAAGTAATAATCATAAGGTTATGCCAATCATTAAATAATATGTATTTTCTTAAAACACACAAGGAACATTTATACAATAGAAACTGGCCAAATACTAGGCAATAAAACAAATCCTGCCGTATACCAAAGAATCAATGGCATACAGACTGTTTTCTGACCAAAATACAAGTCAACAAAATTAGAAATCTATAATAAAAACATAGGAAAAAAGGAATCCATTTGGAAATTTTAAGGCACACTTACGTATAATTCATGGGACAAAGAAGAAATCATAAGAAAAACTATAAAGCATTTAGAATCAATCAACAGTAAAACACCAAATATCAAACTTGTGGGATATAGCTAAAGTAATACTTAGAGATGCATTTATGCTCTCAAGTGCAGTCATTAGCAATCAAAAAGGATTTATTTATTTATTTTATTCTTATTTTTTTAAAGATTTTATCTATTTCTTTGACGGAGGGAGACACAGTGAGAGAAGGAACACAAGCAGGGGGAGTGGGAGAGGGAGAAGCAGGCTTCCCGCCGAGCAGGGAGCCTGATGTGGGGCTCGATCCTAGGACCCTGGGATCATGACCCGAGCTGAAGGCAGATGCTTAATGACTGAGGCACCCAGGCGCCCCTCAAAAAGGATTTAAAACAGAACCTCTGGGAGTGCCTGAGTTGCTCAGTCGGTTAAGCGTCCGACTCTTGATCTCAGCTTAGGTCTTGATCTCAGGGTCGTGAGTTCAAGCCCCATGTTGGACTCTATGCTGGGCGTGGAGCCTACTTAAAAAATAATAATAAAACAGAACCTCTGGAGTATATATATGTTCCCCTATTCTTTTCACTAAGTACAACTGCAGACCTCAGACTTTATATGTAAAACAAACAAGGGACTCTGAAAGGTGGAGAGAAGAAGAAAACATGAGACATGAGGAATGACATAGTGGTGAGTTGCTTGGGTTTTCTTTTTGTTTTGTATATCCCAGACTTGACACTGAAGAAGCCAGTAACCTGGAAACATGAATGAGTGCAGACCAAAAAAAAAAAAAAAAAAAAAGAAATCTGCTCTAACCAAAGACCAGGAAAAGCGCAGTCTAGCAAGACTGGAAACTTAGTAACTGCTCTGCTCTAACCAAACACCACAAACAAAAAAATGTGGCCCCACTCACACTCAGGCTGAATGGAGGACTTAGACTTAAACTCTCGTAAAACTGAAATTAGGTGTCCCAGCTGAAATTAGGTGCCCCAGAATTAGGTTCAAGAATACCAAATAGGAAGCCAGGGCTTCTGTGCTGTCTGGTCATGAGGCCTCTCTCTCACCATCTGGTTTTAATGGAGACCATGTAGAGAGCCTGGATTTCTGCCCCAATCTGGCATTAACAAGATGCCATTCTACTATCCACTGGGGTGGTGTCAGAGGAGGCCTAAAGTAGGGTTGATACTTACTGTCACCTAGTGGTAATGAGCCTACACCCACTGTGGTATCAGTGGAAAAGAAGTAAGGAACCAGAACTCTCTTCCCTCGTCAGCAGTAATGAGGAACTGTCCCCCTCAGGTATCAATAGAGCCTGAGTGGAGTTAATAATGGGGGACAATGGGGCAGTGCCCCTCCCCTTCCTCTGTTGGAGCAGGGTAAAAAAAAAAAAAAATCAGCTAAAACAGATGGTTTAAGGTCCAGAGTTTCATAACATACAAAAAGTCCAAGATTACATGAAAATGACTCATCATACCAAGAACCTGAAGATCTCAAACTCAATTTTATTTTTTTGACTGTATTAGCATTTTAATTTTTAAAATTATGTTCAGTTAGCCAACATATAGTACATCATTAGTGTTTGATGTAGTGTTCAATGATTCATTGCAAACTGAATTTTAAAAGACAATCAGTAGATGCTAACACCAAGATCACATATATATTAGAATTCTTAGACAAAAATTTTTAAGAGCCATGATAATGGATCAGTAAGCAATTGCAAACATGCTGGAAAAAATGACAAAAATAGACTCAGCAGAGAAATAGTTCTTAGAAATAGAAGATATAGGGGCGCCTGGGTGGCTCAGTTGGTTAAGCGACTGCCTTTGGCTCAGGTCATGATCCTGGAGTCCCAGGATCAAGTCCCACATCGGACTCCCTGCTCAGCAGAGAGTCTGCTTCTCCCTCTGACCCTCTTCCCTCTCGTGCTCTCTATCTCTCATTCTCTTTCTCTCAAATAAATAAAAATAAAAAAAAAGAAATAGAAGATATAAGGAAGAACATAATGGAAATTTTAGATCAGAAAAATACAGTAACTTATGAAAAGCTCAGCAAATGGGTTCAGTAGCAGAATGGAGGAGACAGAGGAAAGAATCAGTGAATTGAAAGACAGAATAACAGAAATACCCAGTCTGAATAATATAGAGGAAATAGAATGAAAAAAAAAATGTGAACAGAGTCTGAGAGGCCTGTGGGACTATGACAAAAGATCTAATAGGGTCATCAGAGTCTCAGAAGGAGAGGAGAAAAGGGTGGGACTGAAAAAATATTCAAAGAAGTAAAGCCTGAAAACTCCCCAAATTTGGCAAGAGACATACACCTAGAGGTTCAAGAAGATAATCAAACTCCCAGTAGGATAAACCCAAAGAAATCCATATTGAGACATCATAATTAAACTTCTGAAAACTGAGGACAACAAAATCTGAAAGCAAAGGAAAACAATTAGAATGACATCAGTTTGTCATCAGAAACCACGGAGGCCCAAGGGGAGTGTCATAATATTTTCAAAGTGATAAAAGAACTATCACCCAGAATCCAATACCCAGAGAAAAGATGCGAAGGGAAAATCAAGACATTCTCAGATTAAAGAAAACAAAGTTACCAGCAGACCTATCCTGAAAGAATGGCTGAAGGAAGTTCTCTCTAAACAGAACAGAAATAATAAAAGAAAGAACCTTGGAACACCAGGAAGGAAGAAAGAATGTGGTAAGCAAAAACTTGGATAAATAAAGTAAGCTTTCCTTCTCTTTGAGTTTTCTAAATTGTGTTTGACACTTGAAACAAGGTATAACACTGATGCAGTTCTAAAGGTATACTGAGAAAATATTTTAAGCAATTGTAAACAGGAAAGGCAAAGGGACATAAAGGGAGGTAAGGTTTCTGTACTCAAACTACTGAAATGATGACATCTGTAATAGGCTGTAATAAGTAATATATATATATATATATAATGCAGTACTCAGAGCAATAACTAAAAAATCCTATACAAATAGGTACTCTTAAAAGTATTATAGGTAAATTAAAATGGAATTTTAAAGCATGTTCATGCAATCCACAGGAAAGCAGAAAAAAAGAAAACAAATGAAAAAGAGAAGAAACAACCTCCAGCAGACTTAAGCCCTAATATGTTAATAATTACATTAAATATATCAAGAGACAGAGATGGCAGACCTAACTATATGCTGCCTACAAGAAAATCAAAATATAACCATATAGTCAGGTAAAATGTAAAAGGTTAGAGAAAGATATATATGCACACATTCATCAAAAAGTGGAAGTGACTGTATTAGCA